GGCCTTTTTTTTTTTTTTTTTTTTTTTTTTCTTGGGGTGGCAAAAAACCTGGAGCCGGCCCTGATGCTTGCCCACTGAAGATTAGGCCTAACCTCTTCTGCCTCTGACCCCCAACTGGAAGGCCCACCTTACCTACAGAGGAAAGTCAATAGGACTTGATGTTTGATCCAGAACCTCTAAATCAGTGACTGATAGTGCCACCCCTAGAAATGGTAAAGAAATACTGTACAGGGTTTGAAACAGACCCATTTTTTGGATTTTCAAATATTCTTCCCAACTTTTTTAAATCAAAAATATTGTTGAAATGTTTCAATTATGGAAAACTGAGTTTTGGCTAAATGAAAATTTCAGTAACTATTGTGATAACAGTTTTGATAGCATCTTCGATAAAAATGTTATTGCAAAATTTCACCAGTCAAGTAGGGTTTGGTTTTGTGGAAGATTGGTCCACCTTCTATGGGGAGAGGAGACTGTACTGTTTGGCTGCCCTCCACCTCAGTACAAGGGGGAATCAGTTTCCTTGGGGACAGGCTGGCTAGACTAGTTAGGAGGGGGTTAAACTAATAACAAAAGAGGAGGGTAAAAAGAGAGAAGATATGAGCACTCAGCAGAAAATTGAGATGTTGAGAGCAAAATTAATCAAGGAAACAAAGGATATGAAGAAAAGCAATTCCTGAGTTGCCTATAAACCAGTGCTAGGAGCCTGGGTAATAATCAAAAGGAAATGGAATTGGTTCATTTCTGAGCATAAATTCTATCTAGCTGGTATTACTGAAACCTGGTGGGATGATTCACACAAATGGAGTGTTAAAATCAATGGTTATAACCTATTTAGGAAGGCTAGAACAGGCAAAAAGGGAGGGGGAGTGGCACTGTATGTCAAAAATGGAATTTCCTATTTCCCAGTCACTTATAACTCAAAAGAAAATTATCTTAAATGTTTATGGACCAATGTCCTAACAAATAAAGCAAAAGATGTGTACTAGTTGGTATCTGCTACAGACCACCAAATCACACTAGGGAACAGGACAACCCCCTCCTTTCACACCCATGTATCATGTAGAAAAAACACCTGTGTAATCATGGGAGCCTTCAATTTGAGTGACATATTCTGGAGGTCTCATGCTGCCTGTACTTAAAACATCGTTAGAACTTCTAAACATTATAGATGACAATTTCCTAACTCAAGAAGTGTGCAGCCAACACAGGGGAGTTCTTTATTAGACTTTGTCCTAAAGACAGAGGAATTGACCAAAGATCTAAAAAACAATGGTAGCTTAGGTACAAAGCGACAAAGAGTCCTGTGACCAGAGATGAAAGTAAGCTGGTACGCCCCAGTACGGCGTACCGGCAAGAGCCGGTGCGCCGTACTGGGGCGGCCCAGCTTCCCCAGGTGGCAATTTAAAGGGCCTGGGGCTCCCAGCAGCGGCTGGAGCCCCAGGCCCTTTAAATTGCCGCCATAGCCCCGCTGCTGGAGCCCTGGGGTAGTGGCAACGGGGCTCTGGGGGGTTATTTAAAGGACCAGGACTCCCGCTGCCTCTACTGCCCTGGGCCCTTTAAATAGCCGCCGGAGCCCCATCGCTGCTACCCCAGGGCTCCGGGGGCTATTTAAAGGGCCTGGGCGGTAGCAACAGGGGAGTCCTGGGCCCTTTAAATAGCCCCCAGAGCCCTGGAGTAGCGGCGGGGCTCTGGGAGCTATTTAAAGGGCCCGGGGCACCCACTGCCTCTACAGCCCTGGCCCTTTAAATAGCCCCCAGAGCCCTGCTGCCGGAGCCCTGGAGTAGCAGTGGCAGCCGGGGGCTCCGGCAGAGGTTTAAAGGGCCCAGGGCAGTAGAGGCAGCGGGAGTCCTGGTCCTTTAAATAACCCCCCAGAGCCCCGTTGCCACTACCCCAGGGCTCCAGCAGCGGGGCTATGGCGGCAATTTTAAGGGGCCCGGGGTCCGAGCGACCCTCGCGGGCTCCGGGG